GGGCAGGCGGAACGACGAGAGGGCGCAGCGAGCTGCCCGGAGGAGTGGCGAGTGGCGAGGGCACGGATGCCCGGAGGGGTGGCGAGCGGATCGCTGAAGAAAGGAGCTGGTGGTCCCCATTGGGCAACACCGTGAATGACGTGGTGTGCACCAACCAGCGGGCAAAAAAACGAAAGCTCGAGGAGCGCGAGCTCCCGAAGGGCGAGGGGACGAGGATCCTGGGCTGCGAGCCCTTAACCTATATACTACTAGAGACAAAGCAGATGTAAAGCGGCGAGGGGGTGGCACGAGTTACGCTGTCATAGACCCTGGACAATAATCATTGTCCAAAACACAGCGCTGCAGCCCCTTCTCACCCCCAACCACCATCTTCTCCGCATCTCGGTGGATTATCCTCATCATCTCGACTACATATGTGGGAGGGATGTCGTCCCTTTATCCTCATCCAGATCCACGCAAATGCTAGGCCTCGTCCCTGCCTACTACTCATCCCTCATCGGCAAGGAACGTTGTCCAGTCACTAGGACAGCAGGATGCTCCTGCCGCGCACCCGAGTCGAGAACATCGCCGCTCCTGAGCAGTCCATGTGCCGAGGATCTCACAAGTGACGGTTGAGGATGCTCACTCAGTAAGCATCGGTCCATCTGCTCGTCTTCCCAAAGCTGACTCACATGACGATTCGAAGGCAGTTCTCCTAGCCGCCCACCGATCGTGGCAGCTAGTGCAGTCGCCGACCAAAATCGTCCTTCATGGTCCCTGGCGTATTTCCTCTAGCACTTCCGGGCCACCGGAGTCTTGAGGTTGTATGCTCGGTGGGGCTGACGGACTTGGACGGTGGCTCCTCCTTGTCATGTCAGCCCCTTCGGCCTACGAAGACGATGGCGACCGCTTCATTCCACTTCTTTATCTCGGAACACTCAGTAAGCCCGAGATCTGCATACCTGTGAGAAGTCCACTGAATACCTGAGGCTCTGTTGTACAGATTCCCTGGGCAAGGAGGGCATTATGGTCATACCAATGGTTTTGGACGCTCCTCGATGCCATCCTTCCAGGGCTGAAGCAGACTGCCTCTCGCAATCCTGCGGTCACTACGCTAAGATTCCTGATGGAAACTTGCGACAGGGGAAATAGGGAGATATGCACAATGAGTTGTCCTGACACATCGGATATGTCTTCGCACCGTTGTACTCGAATATGCGGAGGAACACTTTACTGGAATTGTCGGGATGCGAGTGATGTGTGGTT